TATGCAGTGCATCTGGTATGCAAGGTATCTTACTGTTTTGAGACACAGGTACAGCATAAGAGAGGAAAACTGAAAAAATAAAATAAACCTAAACTTTTTTTTCCCCATATTCTGAAAAGCAATTATCTTTCTGTGTCTAACTGGTTCAAGCATTATTTTATGTTTAGAAGATAAAAGAAAAATGAAAGGATAGCAATATTATCTGTCATACTAAGTCACATTCAAATTCTTTCTAGGAAAATTTTGAGGGACAAAGGCTCGAAACGTTTTAGAGGATAACAGCTCCTTTCCTCAAAAGGTTTTTCACAGCAGTAAACACTAGCAATACCAGCTTCCTCAAGCCATCAGGTTCTATGAACAGAACACTCTTTAAAAAAATCATCTTGGGTATACTGTCAGCAGACATTTTCAAATGTTAGCAGAGGAGTAGCAGAGTTGTTTAGGGTTACACAGCTAAAGAGAATATGTGCCGTATTATTGTCAGTGTCAAAATGTACATGCTAAAAACAAAACTACACATAAAGCTTTTTCTGTAGTTTTAGAGCAGGACAAAGTGTTTCAATCTGTATAAAAAGTATCAGAAAAAAAGATATTTAATATAAAACTTAGCCAAGTTATTATGTGTAATATTGCACTCTTTTCAAAAAAGAAGTGCTGTAGCATTTTTCACTATTTTGACACTAATTCCTATAAACAGAATTGACACAGAAGTGCCTACAAGTGTAACCAATAATTGCTATCTTTTGCCCAAGGGTAAAAAGAGACCTACGAAAAATTTGCTAACCGATACCTTATTCATATATATATAAGCATGCACTATTTTCACAAATGATACCAAATTTTGGTCTATAGCCATAATCATCTGTTTATAAAAGAAGTACTGGAATTCTCTTGTCGCAACTATTGCAGTGTATCAACAGGAAGTCACCTTATTTTACAGAGCTTACTGAACATCTATCCAATAGATTAGGAATACGGTTTTGGGATCTGAATATTTCAATTCTCTATGAGCAAGATTCTTGAGACTGAGTCTGCTTCTGTGCAGTCCCTCTCCAAACAAGGCTAATATCACCCAAATCTTCTAAACCATTCAAAATATCAACACACCTCTTGATAAACTAGATATTTCTATCTCCTAATGAGGTATCAGCACATAAACAAAGCTTTAAAGCATATCCTGAGCTGTAACACATTTTGACTGCCATGTACGCACACCCTTCTGAAGTTACTCCCTAACTGCCCTACTTTCCATGAGACTCAAAGACACATTTAGAAACTGTATCCTTTACCTTTCCCCATCACTGCAGTGTCTGAATGGTTAAAACGTTCTACTGCATGAAAGAGGTCCTTGTCAGGGGCAAAGGAGTTCCCACAATTTATGGAGTGCAACATCAACTCAAATGTTTTTCGTTTCTCTTTCAATAAATGTGTGAAACAGTATTAGTTAGTGAATCACTTAAAATCAGACATGGGTAGTGAATATACTTGGTTACTTTTAATTTTCAATAGTGTATGCAAAAAGTTTAGGTATTGAAATTTTAAACACTCCTTCACACTGACTGCAGCTGACTAGAGTATGTTAAACTGCTTTGCAGGAAGATCAGACAGGCATGGGACCGCAATTATGTATCACAATACCCTTTTCTGGGTTCACAGCTCTATTCATCTTTTAGAAACACTGAAGGACAGATTGGACATAGGGGAAGGGATTAGCCACAGGACGACCTGTATTTCCACACAAAAGCCTAAGTGTGGAAAAATGGCACCCTGTGTCACCCATTCTTCACTTGCTGAAAAAAACATATTCATGAAAATAGACATTTAAACAGCTCTTTCCCACTCATCTCAGAACAAGCATTCATTGTTTCTTAACACCATTTATATGGTAGTAATGTAATGCTACTACCAAACTACCTCAATTCACAAATGGCTATAAAAATATCTAAGAATTAAGAAAGGCCCACTTCAGCACAGGAACACAAAATAACAAAATTAACACTAATTAACACAAAATTAACATTAATTATGAAAAAAATCTCAGTTGACTGTTGCAATACACAATCTCATATTTATGAATGGGACTGAAGGAGGATTTGTGTCTGGTAATAAATTTCAGCTGGATGTCATGGAAGTTCTACACACTATAGCCATGCAGAACAACTGAAATTACAAAAATGCATTGTGTTAATAGGTCATAAGAGCATAAGCTACCACATAACATCAGTAATTCCATGTGAGTAAAAGGAAAATGAACACAGAAAAATACATGTAGTAATGGTATAATTTTGTATGAAGTGGAGATTATGTCCGTTTCCTGTTCAAACTTAGCTCTGGAAAAATAAGCAGTAAATATTATGAAACATGCAAAAATGGAAAGAACATGCATTAATAAACCAGGTTTGAACTTTAATTAATTTTACATGTCATTCTTCTTAAATCAATTGTCTTGCATACAAAAGAAATGTTTGGTGTAGGGACTTGTACCATCAACTTGTCTCAGGAGATAGGTGTTACCAGCTAATCTGATAAAGCTAGTCAAACTGGTGGCTTTATTTGAATGTTCTTTGGGACAACAGGAAATTATCCTTCTGCTCAAGCAATAATCAAATTAAAATGTCCAAGCATTTAACTCAGGAATTCGACCACACAGCTGTGTTGCAAACAGCAAGCCTGTGTAGCTCATTAGGCTCCAATGGGAAATTAATCTTTTTGCCAGGAAATCAACAGTCTAAGATCATGTGCAATGGACATAGTGTTCCTGTGGTAGGCATATGGTTAAATTATTTACTAGTTCTTTCCTCACACTTTCTCTTTGTTTTTTTTATTGAAAGTAACATAAAACACCAGGTTCTAAAATGAAAAAGTAAACATCTTATTCTACAAACTGCTTACAATTCATAGCTTAAATCCAGTGTTATCCATTTCTCATTCTCTTATATGCCTTTATTTAAATATTTTACGTTTAAACCATTCACTTCTATTGGATATTTTAAAAGTTCTTCATAAAGAAAAAACTCAGTCATACTGTACAGACTTTCATTCAACTCCATCAAACTATTCAGTGTCTCTTGAAACTACGGGGAAGAAGGAATACATGCACTGCTGAAGTAATTATACAGAAAGGGTCAAAATGCTATCGTGAAGATTAGCACCTGTCAAGAAAAGTCTGACAGCTATCCCAATACGTGCAATTTACAGTCAGTATATAGTTCTCACTGCTAAAGAAAACAGAAATGGTTTGGGAACAAATATAAACAAACTGATGTAATTAAGTTATCCAACAAGCTAAAGAGCTTCAGTGTGCTGTCTGCAGCCCATGTTAAGAATAGTTATAATTGCTAGAGAAATGTAAAACGTGTTAAAAGTCCTTCAAGTACAGCCATGGGCTCTGTTTTTATAAAATAACTTGCTAGCTTTCTATTCCTACAAGGCAGGATGAAATATTTTAAGAGAAACAAAATGTTTTTTAAGGATTTTTTTACAGTAACACAGACCTTAAGCCCTAAAAGACCAAAGAAGAAGAAAAAAACACAGTATAATAGCAAATAGTGTAAAAAACCAGACTGAAATTCTGCGAAATCTCCTCAAAATAGGCCATGTCATTAGACAGATACATAAAAATACAGTTGTCTGAGCATTTTAAAAGAATGTTAAATAAGTCACTATGTGGGAGGCATTGCATACAATGCAATTACAGCATGGGTAGGTTTCTTAAAGGAGAAACCTTTAGCACTGGAGGTATCTGAATAATGCTTCTAAATTAGGCAAATAAAAAAAAACTGTGAAAACAGAGTTTCATGCTTTGCTTAGACTGACACTAAATCAAAATCAGTACTGATACTTCAGTGATTGCAAGGTAGTCACTTTGCACTTGAGTGAAGTTTTGTCCCAGTCACAAAAAAGTTTTTTCCCTGTTTTACACAGCCAGCACTCCAAGATGAGTTTGGTTCATTTTTCCTCCAGCTATACTGTCAACTATATTACAATGGTAAAAAAAATAAAAATGGGTTCACCAACATCCCCATATTGTTGCGTTATCTTTGTTAACACTGCTTAAAAAGACTGGACTTTTCCATACACCACCAAATATATATACATTTTTCAGGATTCACACTTGAATCTCAAACTAGAGTTCACTACACAAGTAACAAAGGGACTAATTATTTCAGTAGTAGGGGAAAAAGAGAAAATACCAACTTCTCGAGGAAAGAAAACGAAACAGAAAAGGGGTAATACAAGGGTTACTCCACAGGAAAATCCCTCTACTCACTTAATCAAACATATTTTTTCCACCCAAATCAAGTAGGAAAAAAAAAAAGAAAAAAAAAAAAAAAAAAGAGAAAAGCCTGCCCTACAATCCAAATTATTGTCTCCTGTAAATTGTAATCACAATTTTCTGACCACAAGGTGGAAAAAACAAGAGCCTTGAAGCCACGAACAGGCCTCTTCCCGTTTCGGGGCAGTGAGGAGAAGGAAGATGCTGAATGCCCAGGATTTGCTCTGCCCTGCCCTTTCCATAGAACTTTAGTGCCATCTATTGAAAATGTACTGAATAAGGAAGAGGCAAAGGATGCCTATTGATTTGGTATAAAAATAAGACGTTTACTTGTTAAGGGGTTTTTTGGTTTATTAATATTCCCATGATGACTACTGTTTTGTGGTCATCTGATAGCAACAAATATTTTCTATACACTATACATGCCCCATACAGAAATGAGACGTCAGCTGAAACGTTGAATATAAACATCATACAGATTCCATATATATATATATATATAAATTTATATGCACATATAACATATATACATTTACCAAAGATGTAAGTCTAAGCCTACCTATTATCTAAAGCAACAAAATTGAGAAGGCTTTAACGGAAAGGAAAAATAGCGTGGAAGCACTGCTGTAAATAGAACATACTGGAAACAGTAAAAATAATTAAGGCACCTCGTAAAGATCTTAGTATTAAAGAACAGGATATGTAGACATGCACATACAATTACCTTCTTTAAGAAACTGTGAGTGGATGACAAATATAAGAAAACAGCAGATCGCTGCTCCTGCTAGTGCCCATAAAGCTTTCAAGAGCTGCATCTCGGTCTGAAACTCAGTAAATACCCAGAAAGTCACACAATGAATTTCCACAGCGATGCATCAACGCTTCCCTCTGTGCGCCAGGCGCGGCGGCTCCCGGCAGGGACCACACTCCCGAGCAGGGCGGGCGAGCCCGGGGCTGCGGAGGAGGNCCGGCGCGGTGCAGGGTCCTCCCGCCGGGCAGCTCCGGACGCGCCGGGAGTTGCGGTGCTGCTGCTCGGGCTGGCGCAGGGTCACTGCATAACGCCGACAACCGTAACGCACCGACGGCCAGGGAGCTACACCGCTTTCTCCGGGATAGGCATCCATAGTTTTGGAGATTTAAACCAAGTAAGGGAATACTTGCACGCTGAGAGCTTTGTTTTCATTGCACCTCGGTTACGTCTGCGTTTATGATGCGAATTGGGGTTTTGGTTTTTTGGTCTTGTTGTTTGTTTGGGGTTTTTTGTAATATTTAATATTTAAATATTTGCTTAGTTTTAAGAAACCAGGAAGATGCTTGAAAGGACAGATTAATAAAAGATCAGTATTTTTATTGGGCAAACATATCCCATGCTGTTGATGATGTGTCTTAAATTCATCCCTCTGCCTTTTCATTTTCAGCAGATCGCACAGAGAAACATTAAAAACAACCATCTTTTGAATTTTAAACTTCACACAAATCCCTATAAACCCATGTATTGCATTTACTATATTTGAACATTACAGCAACGCAATGTTAAAGCAATGTCATAGCTACACTAGAGAAATTCCACTGTAAATCTTTCATTCTGAAATGTACACTTTGGTGAGAAATTTACCATGCTTGGGCACAGTTCGAGTTGGGTTTTGTTTGTTTATTTGTCTTCTGGGTGAAAGAAAATGTGTCAAGTAGCTAAAGAAAATTCACACATTTTACACTTAAGCAAACAAATCTCTCCCCCACCCTGCCCCCCCCCCACCGACATAGCAGCTTTAAAATCCGCAGGTAACTGGATTTTAAAAGTGTCAAACTTTAGAGTTTATACAGTCCAGAATAAGCAATATATTTCTTTTAGTTTAAACACATTTAGAGAGAAGTCCTCTGAAAAATTTGACTCATTGCTTCCCTTTTTGACTAAAGGTACATGAAGGTCCTCTCTCAATGGGTCAGAAGCACCAGCTGCTTGTTCCTTGCTCCTTTTGAGGTGCAAGATGGTGCTTTCTCTCATTTCAACTAGTCTTGCTTCTTAAAGTCTCTTAATTAGACAAATACTCTGGGGTTTCTGTGGCCTTTAGATCAGACCCTTCATAAACAAAACATCAGAACATGTCATTGTGCTCCCTGTCCACAGGGGAGCCACTCTACTTGCACACTAGTGGAAGTGGGAGCAAAATCTGGTTCAGCACTCACACTGTATAGACATATTTAGTCTCATAGCAACAAGGGATTCCAGAAGACTTCCCATTTGAGAGGACAGTGGTACCTGGCAACGCCACTTGCTGTACTACATATGGTTCACTCTCAGTTTTGTGTTTTCTAAATAGCTTTGGACTTTTCAAATAGGGCAAGTCCTATTCAAAAACATCCATCTTCAATTTCTTTACTTGTCACCTGCATAAAGATTTATAAAATATTAAAGATAACTCAAGTTACCCTTGTAGACGTTGCTGGAAGACTTTTCTAAATAAATTCCACTGATAAAAATTCCCCCTTATCTTTCAGCTGATTAAGATTTGCATTCCCAGCACCTGTCAAACAACTTCCAGGCTGCTTTTCCAGGCTCGGTCCCAAGCTCTGACCCCGTTCATCTCCAGCAATACAGAGGCAAAAGGCTGTGGTCCTAGCAGGAGCTACTTCTAGGGAACCACTCCACAGGAGTTTTCCTCATTGTTTTTTATATTTGAAGGAGCAGTGCTTGGCACCTGAAAGCTGCTAAAGGATGGTGATGGCATTGGAAGACATTTCTGATATAGAAGGCATTTGTAGCTGGGAAGAGAAGTGAGGAATACATTTCCCTGATGATCAGGGAGCAAGAGCAAATATGTAAGAGATAGAAGATCTTCTGAGATCTTACAAGAAAGCAGAAGAGAAATGAAGTGCATAATTTTCAAATCTGCGTTCTCTCTTGGAAATACAGCTCATTTGTTCTTTTCACCAAAAATTCAGTCGAGTTCTACAGAATTACTAAAACTGGAACTCGGTAGCAAAAACAGCAGCAGTCTCAAGTATAGAGACTTGAAAAAATTATCTATACTCTGCATTTAATTTTGTGAGAAGATTCTACCAGACTCTGCAAGATTTATTCTTCACTACTGAGATATTTCATAAATAAAGATGTGCTAAAATTCCTGGAAAACAATCATGTTCAGATTGTATTCCACAATCCTAGAAATACCTAGAAATGAAGTCCTACTATTTCCAGCTGTGTCAAATGCCTTTTGCATAACTATTTTATTCCTGTTCATGCAATAAACCTCCAAATTATGCATGGCCAATGCAGATCTAAATGCAGGAGCACAAGATGTGACGTTAGCCCATTTTCAGTAATGAATTTGGAAACTACTTCTGGCTTTGGGAAAAATATAGAGAAGACAATAGCTATTATTAGGTTATCTAGACCAAACTTTTGCCAATGCCCACTGGATTTCATTTTTGTTACTTTTGAGTTACTCAGGCAATCGTCTGTCACCAGCCACTTGAGGTGATTATTCCAGCCCAGTGGTTCTCTCAGCTGGAATGTTTCTCCTGATGCTAAGTTTAACATTTTATTTTGTTGAAATTCACCCAGTTCATCTTTCACATATGCTTGAAGTAGCATTATAAATCCTTTTCTGTTTTGAATCTAACCAAAATAGAAGATACATTGAGTATATAGGAATGAGCACAGATAAATATATTTCCACCAATTAGTTTTAGCAGCATTTAAGTATTTTTTTCTCCTCTTTTCTCTGCATACCAATGTCTGGTTTGCATTTCTTTGCTTCTGAGCTATGCACAACTACAGCAGTCCTCAAAATTTTATTCCTGATCTTCAGCTGATGCTGGGTAACTGCCACTGGAGTAGAAATTAACATCTAAAGAGATGCTATTGATCTCTGGTTTGTGACATGATGCAGCTATCATTAGAACCACAAATACATTTGACTTTTTCCATTAACACCTTAAATTTTCTTCATTCTTCCCTTGACTTACCAAATTAGGTGATACATTAATACACCTTTAATATTTTTAACAGACTATACTCTGCTTCCTGTCCTGCCTCCTAGCGGCAGATTCATAAAAGGGATAGCACGGCCTAGATAATTTAGAATTATCAGTGTGCAATCTCCTTGCTAACAGTGCATGCTTACTTAGAACTTTTGATGGTTTAGGGTTTGGTTTTTTTAAGTTATTTTTGTTTCATTTTGCTTTTCATTTGCATTATTTTGCTGTTTGTGTCTTCTTCCTACCATCTTACTGACTTTCTATTCAGGTATGATTTTCTTCCTCTTCTCTATTTATAAAGATTTGTGCCAGCAGTCGATGCCATGTAGACAGTTTTCCACTGGGAACTCACTGAACGTTCTCCCACACAGCAGCACCGTTTGGTAACAGCTTTTGGCCGCTACCCAAAAAGGAGCTACCTAAGAAGAAGTTAGAGGCCCTGTGAGACCACTCTGATCCCTTGAACCACTGGTAAATTGTCCCAAAGCACCCATCTGAAATCACACAACACACCAGCACAAGCACTGTGTGCAGTGCAGTGTCCTAGGTTTGCTCACAGAGGGGGAGCCCAGCGCCCTGGGGCGTGGCCAATGGAATATCGCTGTTGTATATCGCCCACATCATCACTGCCTCTGTCTCAGGAATAACCGTGAGCTGCTGCCAGCTGCAGGAACATCTCTTATCTTGTCATTGTCTCAGCAGCACGTGGAACTAAACTGAGGTATTAGTGAACACCTTTCACATGTAAAGAGCCATGTCTTTTCTATACTTTCGTTACTAATATTGCTGTTGCCACTGTGCATTTCTTATTCTACTGCTGTTTGCTTTCAGTAATTTGTTGTCTCAACCCACAGTCTGCTTTTGTTCCTCTCTCACCAGATGGGGTCTGGAGAAAGGGGAGTGGCTTATTTGAGGTTTAATTAGCAGCAGGTGTTAAAACACCACATGCAGTCAAACAATGGTACCATATTCCTTCATCGCTGTTGTACTCATGGATCATCCTCCTCACATCTGCCTATCAAGAAATCTCCCCTTATATAATTCAAGTCTTTGAGCAGTTCAGTTCTGAAATGTTGCTTTTTGTCCTCTCTCATTTCACTTGATATGCTCCACCTGTTACAGGGAGCACCTCAATTTGCAGTAGCTGCTCTGACACATTTAACAGCACAATTATAGATGACTTGGTAACCACCCATTGACTAAAAATAACCTAGCAACTGAAGACACACTTGGGTATTTATACTTAGATATCCCAGAGGAACCCTTCACAGCTCCTGTAGCTGGGGAAAACATATGTATCTCACCAAATGCAGTAGGCTAGGAATCCTCAGGGGTGGGGGCGGAGGGATGTAGGGGAAGTGATAACATTGCACAGCTGAAAGATTTTCCAGACAACACTCTGCCAGCTAATCCAACTCTTATCCAACTAGCTCTGCAATTAGGGTTTCCTACTGAGAACAATGACAGCGTTGTGACCTGGGGAATTTTATACATAGAGAAAGCCCCTTGCATCTGGGATTGTAAAACTTAGAGCCTTAAAATCCAACTCCTACACTGATGGTTTTTGCCACCATTACAGATCCTAAGGAAACCGTATGCATATGAGAAAATACGTGAGCTGCAATGAATGAACTACCAGTGAGGAGGGAGATGGCCAGCATATCCTCTGTGAAGAATCTGCAGTGCTGAAACTCATTCTTGCCTTCCAAAGTATGGATTAATTTGTTTTTTTTTAATTCAAGATGTACCAAAATTTCACACAACCTGTTCAGGAGGAAATACTCTGATGTCTGAAGAAAGAGACATCTAAATGATATGATTTAATTTCTATAATACATGATTACATGTGCTATGGTTGCCTGTGGCTAGTTTTATATTTGAGCAGAAGAAACTTGGAATTTAATGGAAAGAACTCCATGTGTTGTAATGGAGAACTTGTATTACTGCAGTATCCATCTGCCCATCCTTTTTATACTCCCTGTTATTTTTCTGGTTTATCTATGGCCTTCATCCATTCTTGTCTTCAAAATATGCTTTCATTCACCTAAAAAGCCCTGACTAGTTAGCAGATTGCAGCAACAAAGAGAACTACTAATCTCAAAGAAAGATTGTACAGTGTCAAAAGGGCCTTTCTACCTGCCTTTAGTTGCAACATTTTTGTCTTGAAATGAAAATAAAGTGTTCAAGGTGAGGTTGGATGGGGCTTTGAAAAACCGGATCTAGTGAAAGAAGTCTCTAACTATGGCAGAGAGCTTGGAATAGATGATCTATGGAAGTCCCTTCCAACCTAAACCATTCTGTGATTATATGATAATTCAGAGAGAATACAACTCTTGAAACTCACAGTTAAGACTGATGTACAAGGCATAGGCTCAAACATTCCAATGACTGTAGTGCTATTCACAAAAATTACAATTAAACTCAGAGGTATTATGGTCATATTTTTACTTTTTATGTATTTTAAGATCATCTGGACTTTTAAACCCTTCTCAAAATACAAATGTTCACTCCTTTTTTCAGAAAAGGGATTTGTATTTTAATAAGGATGATTAAACACATGAAATTAAGGGAAAGTAGTTATGATCCAGATTTCCAGCATCAATTTTTGAGGGTCTAGCTTAAAAATACACAACTAAAAAATGCTGCAACATTCAAGGAGTAAGTTCTTAATTGAGAAAGAGACCCACAGAGAAAGCCATGCTGAATTCACACACAATCTATGAGCCATGTCACAGCAAACCATTATACAATGGCCAATAGCAGTGTTGCATGGAAAAGTGAGTAAGCTAACAGATTTGCAATGCTTGTTGTTTTCATTCACCTTAGTGAACAGGGAAAGTTAAAAAAAAATCAAAAAAACAATTCTATGAAAATGAATTCTGCTATACAAACTCACACTCACTGGCAACTTAAGCAATGAACTCTTTGACTTGTAGTTTTTACTTTAACCAGAGAACCGTCTTAAATTTTCTTTAGATTTCGACTTTCCACATTTTTCAAAATCTGGGTCTTACAAAAATTGATCAGGAGCTGAAGTTAGGCCTCAACAGCCACTTGAATTCTTTCCATTAGCAGTTCTTATTGTGGTGTGTATAAAAGGGAGCTGCAGCAAAAGTGATGCATATCCAGAACACCACCAGGCACCTCACAGTAAGTTAAAACAGGTTCTGAACATATGGGGAAAAGACAAACTGCCTCTAATATTTGAGCACAATGGGTGATATTCCTGAGAAGAAGTAATCTTTGGTTGCTTTTAAGCTAGTGAAGGGGAAGAAAATATTTTTCAGACAAATTTTAAGTGGAGATGATTTAAAATAATTCAAAATCTCAAATAAACAGTTAAAATTATTACATGCACAGAATTAACAATTATTACATTTTATGTATAAAATAAAATGTGTTTACCACTATTTTTTTTAACCTAAATATTCTCATGTTTTCAAGAGATTATCAGACTATGACATTAAAAGAGAGAATTTTATATATTAGGGTTCTTCTGGGTCCGTATTCAGGAATAAGTAAAAGTGAAATGGTTGTTAAATTTAAATCTTTAATCTGAGTAAAGAAACTTGTTTACCATTGAAATATAAAACAATCATTTTACAAGCCATTCATGTATAATATTGTCCACTGGTTCTCGATAGTAAAGTAAAAGGAAAGTATTAGTGAATCTCTAGCTCTTATTAAATATGTCCAGTTAATACTAAATGGTATAAGACTTTTTTTCTTTTTTTTTTTTTCACAGTTGGAAGAAAGTGGATTATTGGAAGCTAATCTCAGGTTTATTACTGGATGCTGTGGAATTAACACACGGGAGGCCTATCTCTTTGCACCTGGGTGGGATAATGGCAGAAACTTCAGGTTAATAAAACCTTCTCTTGCACGCACAATCTATTCATTATCTGCTTGTCTGTTTGTTTTTGTAGGAATTTTATTTCTTCTATTTACCAGATATATCAGGAGTCCTGTAACTTATTATATTTAAGGAAGTAGCCACAGCATAACACCTTTTCACAAAACCTTTTGTGAAAAATGTATTTTAAGAAGCAAACAACCTCTTTGTTTTTATTTTAAATTATGCTGCCCTTATAGGAACCATTTTTTCTGCATGTTTGCATTATTTTGAAATAGAAAGCTTTAATTACAACATGAAAGGGAGCATCTAAGATTTTTGACATGTAACAAAAATAAAACAGTATTAAAATATGACCCCTGGTACATGGGGCAGTGACAGTGCACAGCCTAAACTATCCTCTGTAAAAATCATGCAGATACTGTAGCTGATTCAGCCAGATTTCAGCTGGATAAAGCATTACAAAGAGCATTATACAAACATTGTAGGAAATAAAACATCCTTCTCTACAGCAGAATATACTCTCTCCCTGGACACTGCTTAACATTAAATAGAGGAGTGGAGTGCCAAGTCCTGGGATGTTTTAGCATCACACTTGTGCTGGAATGTCATTATCATCATACCCATGATGGAATGATCAACATACTCATCTTCAGGCTTTTAAACAAGAGATAAATGCTTTCTCTGATCTCTTAGTGCACACTCAGTGAAAGCCCCACACCTACAGCCTGTGTACTCCACAGGTGCAGGTTTACAAGCCCTTAGGTTTTCAGTTGTCTGTGTACATAAGTGAAAGGGGAGATGAGTCATGGTAACTAATTGTTCCTGTCTGAACAGGAGTGTGCAAGCTAATATGTAGATAGTAAGGATGATACAGCCATTACAGCTTGAATCAAGTATAAATCTTAAACTAGCAGATTGGTTAAGACATGCCTGCAGAAACAGCTTTGACCTTAAAGTCACAGTAAAAATCTGAGTCTGATATACCACACCAGTGTACTAATAAAGCAGTAATAGATATTAGATTAGCATATTATACATTGAATGGCTACTATATTGGAAATAAACATATCAGAAGTGGGCAATGATGAATTGAAGGTTTTATTCATGAATTACCACATACAGATTAGATACTGTATTTAATTTTTTAAAAATACTTGTTACCTGTTCTTTTTTTTAGGAAAAAAAATGTTTATTTGGTTTTGTTCAGCATTTCAGAAGAAACTGGTATAATCTATTCTTTCAGTAAACCATTGAATAATAGGTCAGTAACACAGTTTATAAGCTATGCTCTCAATCCATGCCATAGTGGTTTGAGAACGTGTCAACACTCAGTGATTTCCTTACCCAGCTCAAAAGCATCTTGGAGGCACCCCGGGCAATGTCTCATATACAGCCATTGAGGGTTATCCGCTCCAAAATAGCTGTTATAATCTGAATGGAAGAACCATAAATGATTCAATTGAAATCATGCCTGAAAATGCAAAAGGAAACACAGAACAAGCTATAGCATTAGTGGGTCTAACTGCATGCACACCTGAATACCTAGAATTGAAGACTTTGGTGTTTCCCTTTGCAGTCATCCTATTCTATGAGACAGTTGCTTCAAGATGCTGAGAATAGTACTTACAAAATTGACCTTTACTGATATTTAGAAGAGTTATTTTGCATCATTTCAGATGTAAATGTAAGATGCAAAGGTAAACAAAAACATCCAGTCACCTCTGACAGAACGGAAACTTGGTAGAGTCTGCCTTCCCATCCATTCTTTTCTTTTTGAAAGAGTTTAAGTATTCATATCTTCCCTATAAAGTGGTTATAGTGTAGTGCATAGCAGCTACCTAGTCATAGCCTTAATAGTAAAAACATTTTAAATAAAAACATAGAGACTAAATACTGGAACCAAGTGCAGCTTGATTTGTGTTTTGTTTTTTGGTTTTTGGTTTTTTTTAATTTATGAAGAAACTGGACCAGAAAAACTTTTTTCTTCTTTCTTCCCCACAGAAAACTAATGGAATTTTATACAGTCAGAACAGATTGAATTCCCAAAACACATGACAATTACTTCTAGAATTGAGGGACTAGTAAAAAGCAGTATATTTAGTTGACTAATTGTTACGATTAAAAAGGACATCTTGGATTTATTTTGAATGACAACCACTTTTTAAATTGTTTTCTCTTTGCCTACATGTAACAAATCTTTACTTTCTTCCATTAGGAACCATAAAGTTTTAAAATACTTTGTTTTCAAAATCACTTCAGAACAATAAAAGGGGGGATATAAGAAGCAGGTGTGCACTTTATGTAGTAAACTAAAATATGAAATAGTATGAACAAGACAACATCTAATTGTATATTAAGTACAGCCTGAGGGACCAGGCGATCTGCAAGTTATCAGAATTTATTTTATTGAAGTAAACATGTGCAACTGGTATCAATCCTAAAGACATACCAAAGGTATGAAAATTTTTATCAATAATGTCCTATCAAAATGGAGAAAATCCATATATGGCAAATGACCTCCTATTGTGAAAAAATAGCTACAATTTACTTTGCTATAGAAAAAGGCCTTACTCTTTCCAGATTATGTACCCTGCTGCTTCTCATGCAGAAAAGCATTCTCAAGAAGGCAGTCCTTAAAAAAAAAAGTAATTAAACTGTAAAAGTTTCAGCACTTTTCACTGTTTTGTTTTCTTTTTCCAGGTATACTACCAAATATGTGTAATATTCTTTCTGACAGAGACAACATATGACAATAAATTCTTTAAGAGAAATTTGAATTTTCCACTGTTTATGGTGATGATATTTTTTTAGTTGGCTTTCAGAACTGAATTTTGAAAACAGGTATCCTTTTCTTTTAACTTTCTTTTTTTCAAACTACAATAATTTTAGCATCCAAATTATTTTCGTGTGATTCATACCATGTCTTAAAGAGGATTAATTTGACACAAAATATAAAATATTTTCTATTTTGTTGAAAAGATAAAAGTAGTCCTTTGAGTTACATTTTTCCTGAATATTTGGTAGATATCTTAGTGTTGCTGCACTATAGCAAAGTATTTTTACAGGAATTTCTGGTAACAAAGTATTTTACTAAAATAATGCTCAATAACCAGACATGAATAAACTGAAAAGCTGTTAGAATGTATAAGAACTGAGACAAACTACTGGCTCACTAACAGTTGTGAAACAAAGTTTTCTCTCCTGATTTCATTGATAAATTTTTCTTCAAACATGCATCAACTTAAATTACAGAATCTGGAATTCTTATTAAGAATCGGGTCCTGCATTTACTGAAAAACAGAGGAGATGATACTGAGTCTTTTCCTAAATCCAGGAAATAATCATACATGACACTGGGAGCAGCCTGACGGTTGTGAATTCAAGTGGAGACTGGGAGTTGATGCATGTGGCTCCTTTTGTTGTAAGTTTTTACAACACTGCAATAGTGTACTTTCATTTTTTTCTTCTTCTGTCCAGAGTAGTATATGTTATGTATGTGTATAATAGAGGATATCAACCCCATTCAATCCCCAATTCTCATACAGATAAGAAAAAAAAATTACAAGGCTCTTTTCTCTTGCATTGTGAGGAAAGTATTAACTATAGTATAATATAATACTCATCTTGAGAAGCATTTACACTGTCACTCATATGGGAATGTTATTAAAAGCAATTCTATTCACTAGAGAATGGACTCCATGGCAAACAAGTGACTTCTTGAACCCCAGCACAAATGAGGCCTGTTCTGTATGTTTACATCTTGTATTTAACTGCAATTAACTGGATTCCTACAGTTCAATACTTTTTAAGACCATGTCAATTCTCTACATTTAATGCAGTAGGAGAGGACATAGTATGTTCCCACCATTGTGACATTTATAGGGTCTCTAGCTTCTAATGATAATTTCATAAAAATTTTTGTTGAACTCAACCACTAAATTAGAAAGCTTTACATGGAAGCACAACAGATATCTGGTTTTCTGAGCCCCAAGAGCTGCAGAGCCCTCTTCATTGTCCTGACAGCTCACACTCTTCCAAATCTCTTACTTGTACAGTATGTCTGCTGCTACTACTTTATACAAATAAAAACAAAACAAGCCATAGAAAAACAAATTTTTTTATGAAGTCGTTGCAGCAACTTCTCCCATAGTTTGGAAATCTCTCACCAACTCCTTTTCAATAGCCTTCGGAATATTGACTACCCATTTTCTGCTCCTTGGTGCTAATGTCCTGAGCCTCACATTCAGATTTTAACACTGATCAGCACTCAGCCAGGAAAATGATCAAATCAAGTTATTGTGGCTTACCAATTTACCTCCCATCAGCACTAAAGCAGTACCTTGTTAACCTGGTGCAACTGCGTGGTGTGTCTGAATTGAACACATGTGAGTGAAGGTTATTTCAGAAAGAAAGGACAGACTGAAAGAGCAGCCTATATCCACAAGGAAAAAAGTAGAGTAGACATTTGAGCAAACTGTTTAACTTTAAAGGCAATTAGGCAATGAAATTACTTGCCTGAGGTGGTAGTTTAGACAATGTAATAAGAAGTGCTTAAAATAGAATAAACTATTTGTGAGACAGATACAGATGTAAATAATCCTCCATGTTTTGAGCTAGATGAATCATGAGAGGTATCTTTTCTATTCAAATGTCTGACTATAAAATGGTATTCTCTTTCTTGGGAACAGCTTTCCAACTTACGACTGTTTACACCTGTTCTGAATACTAAAGTGAAACTGCACTCCGAAAGGCAGTTTAATCTCACTGTATCATTATAAAGTGGATTTATTCATAACAAGAATCTATGAAAAACTTCCAACAAAAAAGTCCTTAGTCAGGGAGACACACATTGTTGCAAAAATGGATTGTTTCTCTAAGTGCTTATATGGCCCCATTGCTATAGCATCCAAGTGCCTTACAAACATTAATGAATGTATTCTCACAACACCCCTGGGAGATAGAGATAGTATTATTAGCTAATGCACAAAGAGTAGCTTGTCCAAAGTCACACAGAAAGTCTGTGGCACAGCCAAG